TTATTTTAGTTTCTCAAAATCAAGACAAAGTCAAATCGAAAGCAAAATTAATCCAGAATTTGTACTCACATGCATCTACACTTAGGGGTGGATTCGAGCCGTGCCGAGTTAAATATTTGGCTATTCGAGCTCGGCTCACAAAAATAGTGTTAGGCTTGAGCTCGAGCTCGATTCAAGCTAGGGACTTAAGCTTGATCTTGTCTCGGTTCAAATGCTCGCAAGTTTGAGCTTGGCTCGGCTCAAGCTCGATTGCAATCCAAACATTTTCTAAAAAAATAAAAACTATACATATAAAAATATATTTTTTTATTTTACATACAAAAAATTAAATTATAAAAATTATTTACTATTATAAATAAAAATAAAAATATTATTATATATAACAAAATTTATTTATTTATTATATTAGGCTCGATTGGGCTTGTGAGGCTCACGAACCAAACTTTACTGGGCTTGAGCTTGGCTCGATTAGCAAACAAGCTTATATATTGGACTTGAGCTCAGCTCAAAGCTCGGTTTTAATAGCTTGTGAGAAGCTCGGCTCATGGCCACCCCTACCTACACTAGTGCAACTGAATTTTGCGATTTAAACAAATTAAACCCAAGGACCCCATTTGGGAGGGCAGAAACTTTGATTGAATTGCTTTGAAGAAGGCACTAAAAGAAGCTTCATTGGAAAGCCAATTTTTTGGTTGAACAATAGTGTATTTGAATTTTCAGATTTATCGCCAAATATGCATTAGGCTGTTTGTGTGGGGCCTACATCAAAAAGCTAGAAGTAGACCTGTTCATGGGTTGGGCTGGGCTTTTTCTCTTCATTAACAAAAAATTTTCAAGACCGAGCTCGAGCCCAACCCGACCAACGGGCCTACAACTTGGGCTCGAGCCCGACCCTCATAAAAAGCCCGAAGCCCGGGCTCGAGCTTGAAGCCCGACCAGGGATTCTGAGCGCTGGTTCTGAGTTCGCCAGTTCCTAGGAGTTTGAGAGTGAGAATGAAAATTGAGAAAGTGAGAAGATTGAAGATGAAAACGGTGCCGGCCGGAGAGAGAGAGAGAGAGAGAGAGAGAGAGAGAGAGAGAGAGAACCTAGTTTTGGTGGTGCCGACCACTAGTGCCTGAGTTCATAGAGTGAAAACAGTGCGCCTAGGTTCGTCGGTTCTGAGAGTTTGAAAGTGAGAAACTGAGAATGAGAAGAAAAGTGATAAGATAAAAGATGAAAACGGTGCCAACTAGAGGGAGAGAGAGAGACGACCTAGTTCTGGTGGCGCCGACCACCGGTGCCTGAGTTCGAAGAGTGAAAATAGTGTGCCTGGGTTCACCGATTCTGAGAGTCTGAGAGTAATAAACTAAGAACGAGAAAGAAGATAAGTGAGAAGATAGAAGGAATTTAGGGTTTAAAGGTTAAACTATATAAAAGTCGGGTCAGACCAGGCTTAGGCTGGGGTTTTTTGACAAATCCCAAGCCCAACCCAAAAAAAAAGATCGAACTGGATTTTTAGGACCGACGTCAAGCCCGTGGGCTGAAACTCATGCTCAAGCCCATCTAGGGCAGGGCCGGCCCATCGGGCTACCCGGCCCATGAACAGGTCTAGCTAGAAGCTTCTGCATGCATGAAATCCCTTCTAGGCTATATCATCCCATTTGGGAGGGCTTTTGCGTTTGGATTAAGCTGCTACAAAAAAAACGGCTCATGTTGAGCACTAATACTTCACATAAATTACTCAAAATAGCTTCATATTTTACTATTTTTGTTGTTCGAGTGGCATTCGAACACTGATTTAGCTTTCCAGATTTTTACCAAACACAACTTCTGATGTTTCCATATTGGGCCCAACTTAGAATGCCAGAACCCTTGCAAACAGGCACTGAGTGCTTTTGGGCTTTGAAGTGTAAATCGGTAAACACTGAAACTTACATGATTTGGGCTAACCATTATGGAGAATGGTCAAACCATACAGCATCTATATTTAAACGCTTAACATATTCGGCCATCCTATGAACTGAGTCTATTTACAAAACAAAAATAAACTGGCCTAAATTAATGAACATAACAAAGTTTTTTTAAGTTATTTCATTCCTTACAAAAGCAATAATTCCTTCGCAGGATAGCTCACATATTTAGGTTCAGGAGGAGGCACTTTTTGCTCTAATGGAATGGTAGAAGAAACGGAGCTTATGGCGGTATATCTGGCTTTGCAGAAAGCTTTGTTATTGCTTTCATAACAAAGCTTTTGGTTGTCTTTCAAGTATGCCAAGGACACTCACAAGAAAGCTTTTGGTTGTCTCTTGCTTTCATAGATTCAAGACCTGCCTTCTTATTGGATTTCTGACCATGGCCAGTGTCTTACTAATTCTAAAACAAAATGATACATACTGATGAACAACCTCCTGGTTTTTTATTTTTCCATCTTTTGTAATCAGTTTCACTTCTCTTCATTGTTTTCAAATCGTCGTTGACCTAGATGTTTTGACTGAGAACCATTCAAACAACCAGTTCCCTTTCACTCTTAACTCATTCTTTGATTAAAAATTGTTAACTTGGTCAGCAATCCGTTGATCAGGGTGATCAAACTGTTGATCAGTTTGATATGAACAACGGTTTTTTTTTTTCATTTTTTATTTTAATTTTTAATTTAAAGCAATCTATTCATTCAAACCAAACAGTCGAACCACTGATCCAAAACCGATGGCCAAAGCGATTCCAATTGCAAATCGATTTTTAAAACATTGATTTGATTTGCTTTTTTTTTAATTGATGTAACAATTGTTTTTGTTCCGGACATTGGGGTTAAGATCTTATTTTACAACTGTTAGAAAGCTCTAGAAATAATGCATAATATATCAAATGACTAAAGGACAAAGGTCATTTAGTCCTTGAAAATCTTTTAATATCATACCAAAATATTTATCCTTGGAAAACACACACACACACACACTCTCTCTCTCTCTCTCTATATATATAAATGATCAAATTGTCCCATTCAATTTGGGCAATTAAGATTGTATCTGGTATCATTATTATTTTAGTCGAAACATTTTGGATTGATAAATGCAAATTTTAGTAAATAATATATATTGTCACTTAATAACCTTGGTCTAGCAAACAGTAGGATTTATGGCTCATTGAAAACTTAATAGATTCCCAAATAAGCCGACCCAAGATGGTTGCCCAGCATCACTTGTAGTCAGTATGTGGGATGAAATCTATGGAATTTCAGGCTCTCAATTATATGGACCACTGTTTTTAAAATTGGATCGGATCGGAAAAATCAGGAACTGGTCACCTGATTGGTTCCATTTTCCTCCAAAACTGCTTGTTCTCTCAAAACCATTGGTTTTGGTCAACAAATCGCTGAACTGATCGGTTAATTGTTCGAACAGTTTTGATCGTTTTCCAATTTTTTAATTTTTTTTGTCAGAATGGGCCGACTGTTCGAGTCGAACGGTCAGACCGTTCAAACTGGTAACCAGACCCCTGACCGATTCGTTTTTAAAAACCACGATACTGACTTTGTGGTTATGGGCCTCACGTGCACCTTGCCCTGTCCTTATCTTCGTATTTTTATTAGTGCCCATTTGAGAGGATTGAAGCACAATGGATTCTAGCTTCCTGGGGTGCCCTATCTTCATATTTTTATTAGTGCCTATTTGAGAGGATTGAAGCATAATGGATTCTAGCTTCTTTGAGGTGAGTCCCACATAGACAGCCCATAAGCTATGTTTGGTGAAAATCCAAAGAATCCGAATTGGGTCTCATTCAAGTCAATCATTTAAAGGATCATATGCTTTAGCTCAGCCCTAAATCTTGAACTTTCTAACCCAACTATTTACATGGTGTTTGGCATTGGAGTGATTCACAAGTGTTTAGTTTCACTTGTTTTTTCTGAAAAACACAAAAAAGCGGGATGCAAGCTGATTGGCTGTTTAAAAGTGATTTGACTTTAACATTATAATATATTTATAATAACAATTTTGTTACATATCAAAAAGTGGTCAGCTTTCAAATTTCAATATGCCATGAAACATGAAACATTTGTGAAACATTTTTGATATGTAACAAAATTTCAATTTTGTTACATACCAAAAAGGATTGTCAAATGCGAATTTCTTGCCAATTCAATTTAATTGCATGGCAAATCAGGGATGAATCATGAAACATTTGTGAAACGCTCGTGTTAAACAAAAAAATAAAGAAAAAGAAACTGAACACTTATGAGACGCTCTGGTGCCAAATACGTAGATTGAGAAAAACAAAACATGGTGGTACAGGGCAACTCGAGAGTTGAAAATGGTTTTCCCAAATTACATCGAACCGGACAACGGTCTTATCCCGGTTCAACCGCTATGTCTGGCCCAATTTTCAAAACAGTACCAGACACAAATCTTATATAGTTATAGAGCTCCATCCCTTAAAGTACAATTCCAGTGGACAAGACGAGATGGGTAAAATTCATCAAATCAATGGTACAGGGCAACTCTCAGATCCGGCGCGCTCCTACGTGGCGAGCTATTAGCCCCCGACCGTTCTATGCGTCGTCTTGTCCAAAGTCCTCTACCCAAAGACTCGCAACGACTCTTTGGAGTTTGGACAAGGAAAAGTAAAAGCGACGAGAGGCGAGAGCTCTACGTGTCACCACGCGCACTCGTGCGTGTTACGCTTACGCTTCACCTCCTCCCCATGTGCATAGGATTCGCGCATTACGCACCCTTCTTACACTAATAACAGCGATTAAGAAATAATTAAGCTACTAAATACACTGGAGTAGGGACTTCTCACGCAATGCTCTCTTTTTTTGATAGAAAATCGAAAGGGGTTATAGCCAGAGCCAGTGATTAGCTTTTCGATACACGTCCCCGCAATGCTCTCTGCTTCCGGGCAATTTTTTAATCCAACAGCTATTCTCTCTCTAGTAACAGTAGAGAGAGACACGAAGCGGATTTGAAACAGTAACTTGGAGAGAGAAACAGAGAAAAACAAAATTATTCCTCTCTCTCCCTCTCTCTGAAAAGCTCCTGCTCTTCTTATATTGTCTGTTGAAGAGAATAGGGAGAAACAAAAAAAAAAAAAAAAAACGGAACGACTATCCCTCTCTCTCTCTCTGTAGAGGGAAACCCTTGAAGACGTCGGAAGGAATAGATAGTGCAAGGAAGCCCTAGAATTGGAAGCGGAGAAGCTGAAGATTTGGGGATACTGTGTCATTCGAATGTGAGAGCGCGAGATCCGTGATGGCCGATGTTACGGGCTGTGGGGAGGGTGTTTTACCGGTTACACCAGCAGCGGAGGTGAGTTGCAGCGGGAGCGGCGGCGGGGGAGGAAATGCGCGTTCGGCGGGGAATGAGGTAACGCTGGCGACGCCGCCATTGACGGTTTCGGGATCGTTTAAGGAAGGGAAGACGTCGAGGAGGCGGACGTCGGTGAGGCCGAGTTTGGACGCGGATGAGTTCATAAATCTGTTGCACGGGTCGGATCCGGTGAAGGTTGAGCTCAATCGGTTGGAGAATGAAGTTAGAGGTGGGAATGCGTTTGATCCAGTTATATTTGGGAGATTTGGAAGGGTTTTGAGAGTGATGTGTGTGTTTATGGGGCTTTCATGTTGAATGTGGCGTTTTTTGCTTGGTTTTTGCAGACAAAGATCGAGAATTAGGGGAAGCTCAGGCAGAGATCAAGGCATTGAAATTGTCGGAACGCCTGAGAGAAAAGGCCGTTGAAGAGGTCATTTCTGTTTTCTTTTTTTCTTCATTTTTTTTGCTTAAATACTTGCGCTCCATCTGTATTTTTTTAGTTTTTATTATCTTTATTTATTATCTCTATTTATCAGCTTATACTTGGAGTGCTACCTGGACTCAAATATTTTGATTTATTCGAAGTTTTTATCTTCAGTATCATCCAACTTATTATCTTTCACTTCTAATTCTAGTTTGAAATATAAAAGTTATTTTGATGTGTGATTTCAGATTTCTACTTTCTAATGGATTACTATTATTATAAGTAATTTTGTTTTTGAAATGTTGTGACGGGGATGCCCCCATTTTCCCTTTTCCTTTCATGCATAGTGTACTCACTGATGCTTTTGGGTGTTATTTCTCTGAAGGAATCAATGCATTATTTTCCTTATTCTTGTTTCACAATAATTTTTAAGTTTACATATTTTAACTGGTTAGTTTTAACTAATTCCATTTCGATGGTTTCCAATTTTGGGCTAAACTGTTCGATATTTTTTTAGGATCAATTTCTTATATTTCGTGCCGTTGAGTCCCTTGTATTATTATTATTATTATTGATGCATTTTAGTCTCATTATCTACAAGTTTTATACTTACAATTTCCTGCTCTTTCCAGCAAAAGGAAAAAAAGTAATAATAAAAGGAAAGAATTTCTCGTTATCAATTATCAATCTTTTGAGAGTTCATATAAATGTAGTTGAGGGCTTTATATTTATCATAATCCACGATGTGGGCATGCTTTCAAGTTGGTCAAATTTAAAATAAGTAGGACTAGCACAGGATATATGATATGTAAATTTAATAATAATATGATTACAAACCAGGTACACTTAGGATTGGAGACCAAGAGATAAGATAACTCAGTATGACCTTTACCAGTACCTTGGTTTGACAATTCATAACAAGGGAGAGATAGAGGAGGATGTCACTCATAGAATTAGAGAAAGATGGCCAAGATGGATGGGTGCATCTCATGATAGGGGAACTGTATTTAGATTAAAAGGAAAAATCTATAAAACAGTTGTAAGGTCAGCTATGCTGTGTGGAGCAGAGTGTTGGGCAGTTTGCAGTCAAGAAATGCCATGTCCAAAAAATGAGTGTAGCAGAAATGTGTATGTTGAGATGGTGGAAAAAACTATAAAGGATAGGATTACAATTGATGTGCTGCAAGTTGAAGAGGCTAGAAGGGCTAGGGGTACACCCAAAAGGACATGGGTAGAAGTGGTAAGAAATGATTTAAGTCCCAATATTTTAACAATGGATATGGCATTAAACAAAAGAGAATGGTGGAGCAGGATTCATGTAACCGACTCCATTTAGTTTGGATAAGGCTTGGCTGATGATGATAATGCTTGGGCAATCTTAGCATGCCATTAGAATGAGTACTGACTTCTTTTACCATGCTTTCCCTGTCATTCACATCAAAACCCATTAATGCAATTAGATTGATCATTGCCTGGATTTCAAGTCTCCTTCCAACTATGCTACGAATAACTGCTCCCTTATTGTGTTCAACATGTGGATGTGTACTGACTTTGTTTTGCCATTTTTTGTTAATTTTGTTAGCTCACTGAAGAATTGTCAAAGGTGGAGGCAAAACTCAAGCTAACTGAATCCCTTCTAGAAAGCAAGGTTTTACTGTTACACTTAAAACTCTTACTACTGTCATCATCATCATCATCTACTCTTTCTTTGATGTTGCAACCCTGGCTGGCTGGCTGGATGATTAGTGAAAATCCATGTGCAGAATCTTGAAATTAAGAAAATCAATGATGAGAAAAAGGCTTCCATGGCTGCTCAGTTTGCAGCAGAAGCCACCCTCCGAAGGGTCCATGCTGCTCAAAAAGATGATGACATGCCACCAATTGAAGCCATTCTTGCGCCACTTGAGGCTGAGCTGAAGCTTGCTCGACAGGAGGTAGTTGATCTTTTTGTTTGACATACTGCAATATCATCATGGAAATGGAACTTCTGATATATGTACACTGATCTGTCACCTATAACTTCACCATTTCTCTTCAGGTCACTAAGCTGCAGGATGACAATAAGGCATTAGATCGCCTTACCAAATCAAAAGAAGCAGCTTTGCTTGAAGCAGAGAGAACTGTGCAGGTTGCTCTGGCAAAGGCCTCTATGGTAGATGATCTCCAAAATAAGAACCAAGAGTTGATGAAACAGATTGAAATCTGCCAGGTATGTAGGATCATATATGTTCTGTGTTCTTCAAATTTATTTGATCTTGACCAGATATTTGTTTTGTTAATCTAATCTAACACTCATCATGTAATTTGTAATTTTGTAAATATTTTTATGGCATATATTAGGAAGAAAATAAGATCTTGGACAAAATGCATCGCCAAAAGGTTGCAGAGGTTGAAAAGCTCAGCCAAACTGTAAGGGAGCTAGAGGAAGCTGTTCTTGCTGGTGGTGCAGCTGCAAATGCTGTGAGGGATTACCAACGGAAAGTCCAGGAGATGAATGTAATGTGCCTGTTTCCAATATGAATGTGCAGCATACAGATCTACTTAAGATTTCAATATTTATGCCTGTGGTGTATGTGTTCTGTAAGGCACCTCCAATTATGACTTATGAGTAAATCATTTTTATGTTCTACAGGAGGAGAGGAAAACTCTTGATAGGGAACTGGCCCGTGCAAAGGTCACAGCAAATAGGGTTGCAGTGGTTGTAGCAAATGAATGGAAAGATGCCAATGACAAAGTGATGCCTGTAAAACAATGGCTTGAAGAACGGAGGTTCTTGCAAGTATGTGTTGTTGTATTGATTTATTTTTATCATTTTAGTTCATGTTTTAGATGTTCTTTCTATCCTATTTCCAACAGTTTTGTATGGTTTCTTTAGTTTTGACGGTTATCTATTATTACCTAAAACTGCAGGGGGAAATGCAGCAACTTCGCGATAAACTTGCCATAACTGAACGAACTGCAAAATCTGAAGCACAGTTGAAAGTATGATTTGGTTATGCAGCCTTATTTGCATTTCCTCATTAGCCTCTTTTCAACTGGTTTGACAAAATTTGAAACATGTTTTCCTGTACTGGGCAGGAAAAATATCACTTACGCCTGAAAGTACTAGAGGAGAGCTTGAGAGCACCTTCAAATAGTGGTAGTCGCACTAGTTCAGAAGGGAGAAGTGTGAGCAATGGGCCTTCACGTCGCCAATCCTTGGGTGGAGCTGATAACTTCTCAAAATTGACCTCCAATGGTTTTTTATCCAAGAGAATGCCATCCTCTCAATTGAGGTCTTCAATTTCTTCTGGTACCAGTGCATTGTTGAAGCATGCCAAAGGAACATCAAAGTCATTTGATGGAGGAACGAGATCATTAGACAGGGGCAAAGTTCTCTTAAATGGAGCAGGTTGTAACTATGCACTTAACAAATCTTCTGATGGAACTAACAGAGATAGTGGGGCAGTTGGTGATTGGAAAGGGAATGCAGATGAAAAGCCCAATGAGTTTCCACCAACAGTTGAAACAGAAGATAGTGTATCTGGATTATTATATGACTTGTTACAGAAAGAGGTCATTTCTTTGAGGAAAGCCTGCCATGAAAAAGATCAAAGCCTTAAAGACAAGGATGATGCAATTGAGGTTAATATTCTTCTGCTATTGGTTGCATTTGCTTAACCTTCATGTATGTGTGTATGTATTTTCTTAACCTTCATGTTTATCTATTGGTTGCAACCTCTTGTTGTGCAGATGTTAGCAAAGAAGGTAGACACATTGACCAAAGCAATGGAGGTGGAGGCAAAGAAGATGAGAAGGGAAGTGGCTGCAATGGAGAAGGAAGTAGCTGCAATGCGTGTTGAAAAAGAACACGATAATAGGGCTAAACGACTTGGTAGTTCCAAGGGCTCTGTAAATAGTTCTCAGCTGCTTCCTGGAAGGTACTTGTAGTAAAGTTTTCTGAATTAACTGTAATTACTTTCTCTGTCTTAGTATTGTGATATGTGTATCACCCTTTTATTCATCATAGAGAGTATCTAAATACAATCTTCTAATGGTATTTTTAATTCATCCATTTTCATATAACTTGATCCATGTGATTTATTTTCTGAATATATTTTACTTGGAATTTGTCACTTGGTCCCCACCTCCAGAGAGCATTATGAAACTGAACTTTGATGGGTGCAGCTTGGGCAACCCAGGAATATCAGGTGTTGGATGAGTCTTTTTAGAAATCATGGTGGAGTAGTAATTGCAATATATTCTGGAGCCATCACTCAGGAAAATTATTTGCAGAACTCCAGAGCAATGTTTTTAAAACACGGAAGCATGATATGAGGGCATTCTACTACCTGGAGGCATGAGGAAGAAACACACTTTTTCTTTCATTCCTTTCATTTCCTTTTCCTTTTCTTTTCTTTTCTTCTCTTTTCTTTTTCTTTGTTTAACGCATATACGCGCACCTCAGAGGCATCAACTCTTCCAGCATGCACCTTAGGGTGTTTGAGGGCACCTCGCTTGACTTGGAGACCATGAGATAAATCAATATAACCTTTTTCCAGTATCTTGGTTTGATAACTCATAACAAGGGAGGGATGAGAATGATATTGCCAAAGAACTAGAGCAAGATGGGCAAAATGGAGGAGGGATGCATCTGGAGTCTTATGCAATAGGAGAATATCACTTAGATCAAAAAGAAAATTTATAAAACAGTTGTAAGGCCAGCTATGTTGTATGGACTATGGAGCAGAGTGTTGGGTGGTCAGAAAACATGTAAAAAAAAGCATGGCAGAAATGCATATGTTGAGATGGATGAGTGGAAAAACTAGAAAGGATAGGATCAGAAATAAAATTACAAAGGAACCTAGGAGTAGCTCTAATTGGTGATAACATAAGAGAAAGTAGACTAAGATGGTTTGTCCACGTGCATAACCTTCAAAAGCACCCATAAGAAGTTATCTGTTGCAAGTTCAAGGGGCTAGAAGGGGGGGGGGGTCAGGGTAGATCGAAAAGGACATGGGTCAAAGCAGTAAGAAATGATTTAAGTGCTAATAATTTAACAATGGATATGGCTTTAAACAAAATGGAATGGCAAAACAGGATTTGTATAGCTGACCCCATACAGTTAAAGGCTGTGGTGGTGATGGTGATGATGACAATATGCATATGATTATAGCTGACCCCATACAGTTAAAGGCTGTGGTGGTGATGATGATGACAATATGCATATGATTATCTAACACTCACACCCATGCACAAACATGTAAAAATGCACATGTTATATATTTATATGTACAAAATACATGTATATGTATTTATTAATGACATTTGTGCATCTTTTCAATCCATTTGACTCCTAAATCGGGCTTCAGAGCCCAATAAAAGAACAAATATATAAAACATATTAAAATAATACCTTCAAACCCAACCAACCAACTCCCCCCACACGACCAACCCCTGCCTGAGCCCAAGCCGGTCTCGAGTTTTGTTGGGTTAAGCTTGGATTGGGCCTGGGTTAACCATCAACCCACCCCAACCACTCAAGTTGCATCCCTTCCCATATATATGAAGAGATTGGTTTTATGATTTTGGTCATAGTTCATTCTATTTTAGGGTGAGTGATCAGAGATGAGGTTCAGTTGTATTGTTCTGTCTCTACTATAATTTTTTGCTATTTGAGATCCTATCCTATCCATGACAACTAGGGCTTCAGGTATTCAAAAGGTCTTCATTCTTTGTTTTTTTTTTTTTTTTTTTTTTTTTTTTTTTAAAGTTAGTAGATTATTACTAGTGCACAAGCACCAATAAAATGTAATTTAGAAGTTAGTAAACCAATATGAAGGTGTAAAAGCATAAGAAAAAAGATAAGTTCATAAAAGGTGTGCACCCACACCTGTGTCTGGGTTGAAGTATCCAAGGCGCATGCCTTCAAATACACCTCAGCTTTGGACCTAGACATGTGTGCCTCAAAACACTGAAATGACTTTATATTCTGAAAAAGAAGTCATCAGATGACTTGATACAGTATTAAAAGAACAAGGAAAAAGAAAATAGATTTTTTTTGATAAATAAAAGACAAAAAATTGAACAGGTAACTAACATCAATCAGGTGATTCTCAGTTCCTGTGCCACCCATAAATCAAAAAGTGAATCAAAGACCTGGGACATGAAATCAACAATTCAAAATACAGTAGTGATGTTGACATTGAGAAGGAGGAAAACCAGAAGTAGGATGTCTAACAAAAGCACCCAAAGTAAGACACAGAAAGTGTAGGAACTTTATGCACACTTGTCCCCATATCTTCTGTCCTAGTCCTGCTTTTCTGGAAACCTTTTCACTATAAAACATTTCTATCTTTTTTATTGGTTTAAAGCATTTTCTGATGTCGATTGGTGTTTTTAAATTCTTAAGAAAGAGAGGGGAAAACAACATTCTCTCTTCTATGCATTAAGAGAATTATTAATGAAAAAAAATCATTCCCATGTATATTTTTCACATGATTTCTTGTACTCTTCCTAGTCTGGAAATCGTGAATTGTGTCTGCAAATGAAAAACTTTTGATCAGTATTAGTGTCTATATTGAGTGGGATCACCAACATGAATATATCCTCCATGGTTTAACAACTACAGCCAAATCCTTTATCAAAGAATGAGCTATAAGAGCTTTCATCACTAGAGAGTTTTCATCTAGCACCAAAATCATCACAGTTCCCCTGTCCTGTCACCAGCTGTCTTTTAACCCATCAATCAACTGCACCATGGGTCGGACCATGTGTTGACAAACCTTCCAAAGAGCAGTCATTTGAAGTGGCATGTTTTACCTACAAAAACCTATACCATTAATTGAACTCCATCCAACAAGAGAAGCATTTGTCAGATTTTGCAACCTTCTGTAGCTTTAGCTTAAGGACTGCAAGAGTGAAACTTGGGCAGAGCCCAACCCAAGCCCGACCTGACCCAACCCAGTTAAGCTGAGGTCAAACTTTTATTTTTATTATTAAAAAAGAAAAGAAAAATGAGATCCTCCTTCCTCCTCCTCCTCCTCCTCCCCCTCCTCTCAGTCAAGGAGGCTTATGCTTCTTACATTCTTAACTATGCCTCAGGCCTCCAGGTAGTGGAACACTTCGCATCATGCCTCCGCATTTTAAAACATTGATCTTAAGTTACCCTGATCTGCGCTCCTATTATTATTAGGTTTAGATATTATATATTCAGTTTCTTGTATCTAAGGTATTTGTCTGTAAATTTTGCAGTTAATCCATAATTTCATCAAGTAAAACAATTTCATTAGCAAATAACATGCACCATGGGTAGACGGTCTTGTTCATGGGCCAGGCTTTTGGCCCGGTCCATTCAAATTTTGACAAAAGCTAAGCCTGAGCCCAACCCACGAACAGATCTAACATGCACCATGGGTAGACGGTCTTGTTCATGGGCCAGGCTTTGGGCCGGGTCCATTCAAATTTTGACAAAAGCTAAGCCTGAGCCCAACCCACGAACAGATCTAACCATGGGACCTCCTCTCGTATATGTTTAATCAATTAATCCATGACTAGTGCAAATAAATAAGGGCCAAGTGCTGAACCTTGTTGAAGAGCCATCATAACTATAAAATCATATGCGTGGTGTAAATGACTAAATATAGTTTATTGTGTATATAATGGTATAAATATGTAATACATATACATATATATGTTATAAAACATAAATACACAATCTATGTATATATATATATATATATCATACAATGTTGGGCAGGCTTGGGCTACATGAGGCCTCAACCTAAACCCAACCCGAATTTTCTGGCTTAGGCCTAGTTTGGAGCCTGGGAACTCAAGCTCAACTTATACAGTGGCTTGGGTTGGGTCAGGCTAGGCGATCCCAAGTTGCATCCCTATATATGGGCCAAAAATTCGAGTTGGTGGCACTATCATAAGCCCCTCCTTGCATGGAACACAGAATATATTACATCACACTAGCTACTTGAAGTAATGCAACTAGGAGATAGACGACTGCATTTAGAATTTCATATGCTTGAATTGTTGAGTGATTCAAGCACTTTGAGTCACACGGAATCATTGACAACAGTCTGAAAATGTTCTATTGATTGGATGGTTGGAATAATCTGGTTATTGTCATTAAAGATCTAAAAGAATCTATTGGTTGTATGATAGCCAGATGACTTCCTCTCTCTTTTTCTCTATAACCCATTGGTAATGTCTCCCTTGTATTTTTTGGATGGACAACAAGTAGGAAATGCTGTTTTGAGATTGTTTACTTGTTTTCTTATATATCATTATTATGGAGTTTTTGTCGTGTGGTTAATAAATAGTTGATATGTGCAGAAACATACCACGAAGTGGGCTGATGCGCAATATCCAATAATAGTGCCGAGCCAAGCATTATGGAGTAGGCTTTATTCCTGATTCGCTCCTTTTTTTCTTTTTTATTTTGTCTTTCATGATTGATTCTAAGATTACAACCAGCACTCCGATGACTTTTCAATCATTTAGTTTGGGAGAAGAAAAATGAAAAATTAGTGGAGGAAGTTGGTCTGTTCTGACTTGACTGTCCCTGTACTCGCAAGTAGCAAAGGATGTTGAAGTCTACTAACCTTTTGTCAGGTTTACATTGAGAAACAGTGTTTGTGTGGTTGTGTATAGGTTATTGGGGTTTTCTTCTTTTCCTCTTATATTTGTAATTTGCAGTTAGTGTGAGATTGTTGTTGCTTCAGAGTTGTGAATATTCTTGTAATCAGATCAAGAGATCAGAGTTTTCATGGTTGTGTTATTTTTCTTCCCAATGAATTGGTGGTAGTAATTTTACAGGCTATCGCTAGCTGTTGGGAAGGGTATATTATAAACAATAGCTTGTCTATTCATTAGGATATCTGATTGTGTTATATAATGGCTTCATGACAGGAGATCACCAGTTACTTGTTAGCTGGATCCATTGCTTGATTTCCAACAATAGGATTGCACTTGTCCTCCGGGCTCCGACCATATAAATGCAGAGGTTATTGAAAGGTTGTTCTATGTATTTTCCATGAATAAGGGAATCATGAACATGGGTGAGTCATTAACATGTGTAAATGTTAATACATTGGTCTGCATTTATTGGGAATCCAGCAATGATACAGCAAAAGTAGGGGACCATCAGATCCAGGCTTAGACGCTACAGGTTTGATGGGTGTGGAATCCTACCTTACTGGACCTGTATCACCGTATAAGGTTGCAACGTTGCATTACCTGTTGTTGGGGGGCAAGTATGGACAGAAGAAAATGATGCTTTTAACGTGTGAGATCAGTAGCTCTAGCTCCTGGCATCTGTCTATTTGAAGTTGGCGCTCCATAAATGAGTTGGAGAATTCTTTTCTGCTTCTGGTGTTGAGGCGTTTCTATTATTTCTATCTGTGAAACTTGTAACTTTTCAGAGCAATGTCTGTATTTCTTTGCTTTATTTATTAGCTTTTCTTTGGTTTCAACTTTCAAGATTAGAATTCTTGGTTAAGCTAATGCACTTGGTTGCAACTTGGTCTTCTGAAGCGGAACTGCGATGTACTAACCAATAATGAGAAACTCTACTGCGCTCAGAAGTGGACGGCAATAAAATGTGCAGGCGAGTCAACCCGTCAAAGTAAACGGTGTAAGTGATTTCTAATTTGGTGGAGCAACCACAGACTTGATGTTAAAGGATAAGACAAAACGAGAAACTCAAAAAAGCAAAGATTTAATATGATGATGTGTGGCCTATTGCTTTCTGGACTTCCAGAGTTGCAGTGCAGTCCCTGAGATCAGTAATTCAGTATGATAGTAATTTGGACTATCCTAGAGATGTTTGTCAGCTTTGACCATGCACATGTTGGACAGTGAAACAACTTTAGGCACATATTCACATACATATGTTTTTTTTTTTGCCTAGCTACATAGCCTACAATCATGTACAGGTAAGACTGCTAGTTGCACAAACTAGTTGATGGTGCTATAGATGAAGTTGGAGCCAATGTATTGTACTTAGATGTACTGAGGCACAGCCTTTTTTTTCCCTAATAAATTGTACTGGATGAAAATGCACCTGGACTGACAATGTCCATGATGTGTGGTTTAACGCAATATAGCTGGTTAAAGAAGAAAGAAACAAGGGAAAACATGCATGGAGAGATTTCAAGAAAATTAATGAGATTATAGCTGATAAGGCTAACTTTTGGGTTTTATATCAATAAAAATACATTTTTTAACATAATATTTAGAATATAATAACTTTTTTTTAAAAAAATATAAAAAAAGGGTAGAAACACTGTTAATCTCCTTCCTCTTTAGGCCATCGAACAAATGGTTTCTATCTTTCTCTTTCCTCTTCATTTTTTTGCTTCTTCTTCTTCTTCTTCTTCTATTCAGATTATTTTTTTTCTTTCTTTTCTTTCGGTTAGTCTTCATGGCTTCATGCAATGGTAGGCACGAAAGCTGCCAAATCTCTGAGTGTGTGTGTGTGTTTCTTTTATAGAACCTCTCAACCTCTGAAGCTTTTTCTTTCTTCTTATAGTTTGAACTTTGAACTCCTGAAAACACAATACTTTCTCCCGGCCTCTTCTATGTAGAGGCTGCCGAGACTCGTGGAACTGTGCCTAATGCAGATCTCAGTTCTTTTAACGGTGTTTTGGCTCGTAATAGGAGCTCCAGTGAGTAACCAGTAGTCGCTCCCTGCTATTTTGAATTCCCGGCCATCGATTCTCTCAAGGATTTGAAGTAGAGGGTTCCAGCGATCTTGGGCATGGAGGTGGATCCAAAGTGAGGGCCAAGGGTTCAGGAAGTGGTGATGAAGCTCTTTCATAGCTAGAGGTGCAACTTGGGTGGGCTCAGCCCAAGCTCGAACCAACCGAACTCGAAATTTTACATGGGCTGGGCTTGGATTTTCAGTCCTAGGGCTTGGCTCGGGCCTATGAAGTTGGGCTTTTATATTTTTAGAGCTGAGCTCGGCCCTAGCCCTTAGGTAGCCAGAACCAGGCCTGAGCCTAGCCCAACTACATACATACATACATACAAATTATAGGGTTGGGCTCTGGCCCGGGCCCGAGCCCAACCCGAGTTTATCAAATTATAGGGTGGGTTGGGCTTGGGTTGGGAAAATCGGGCTTGACCTTGGGCTTAGGCCTTAAGCCCAAATTTTAGGGCCGGGCATGGGTTGACCATAAACCCGGCCCACCTGCCTGACTTGCACCCCTATTCATAGCCATCAAAGGAGGAGGAGGAAAAAAAAGATAAAGACCGGAGGTGAGGAGATTTGTTCGATGGTCTGAAGGAGGAAGGAGATGGAACAGTGCTTCTACCTTTTTTGAAAGTTACCCTATTCTAAAAATTATGTTAAAAAGATTATTTTTATTGATAATAAGATCCAAAAGTTGCCCTTATCAGCTATAATCCCAAAATTAATCCAATAAGTGTTTGAACCATTTATTTATACAAGGAACTATACAATTTTACATCAAATTGTATTGGTGTTTTCATAGTCTACAAGTTGCCAGCATCTTTCCTTCCCCAAGAGCAATTGGGCTTTTCTCCTCACAGGTGCACCTCACAGAGTGCGCCTCACCTCAATTTTACTTAACAATGCTTTTTGCTGAAATATATGGATGTCGAAAAAAAAATGAATCAAGTGGGCTGAAGTGTGTTTAGGGATTATTTATGGAAAATTAGAAAAATCATTTGATTGCCTTCAATTACGACTCACTCGTTGGATAAAGACCTTCCACACCATTTTACTTACAATTAGAGAGAAGAAAAAAGAACTTTCTGGAAATCATTTTTTTTTTCTTTCATTTTCTTCATTTGATGATAAGGTGGGCTATATCACAAAAATGTATAACTTTGAACAAAATATGAAGACATCTAAACTCAAACTTCAAATAATGGGGTGGATATAGATACAACAAAACTTTAAAATATTAACATAAAAATTAATAAAAATAATAAGAATAAAATTATTTCAAAAAAATAAAAAAACAAGTTTAATAATTTTTTATTAATTTATCGTCCATTTAAAAACAATAAAATTTAATTTATCTTTACAAATCCTGTACATCATATGGGCCCTACTAGTTTTAGAATATAGTGTAGATGTGGTTGACTCGTTTTATTTAGACTTGTGGTTGTCTCTTCTTCTTCTTCTAGAACTGTTGTGGGCTGGGACAAGCTTTGCCTCTATATTGACAAAACACATTCAGGCTTGAGTTCGAGCCTGACCTGATCATCAGGCCTAGATTTGACCTGAGCTCAGCCAAAAAATTGAAAATTTTTTTACTAACAAAACTGATTTATTTATATTAAAAAACCTCAAAACCCAAAAATAATGAAAGATTTCATTATGACTTGCAAAAAAAGATGAACAAAAAAACAACATATTATATAAAATATTTTTTATTGTATAATATATTATCAGGTTGGGGCTGTTGGGCTCGGACTCAAACTGGATTTTTGTTTAGAAAGCCCGAATTAAGCCCCAAAACAGTTGGACTTGGTGTTTTAAGCCCAAATTCAAGCCCACAAACTTAAATTCATGTCCAAGTCCAATTAAGAGCATGTTGAACCGCCCATGAACAGGTATAGTCTCTCTTCTTAGAAAGAAGGAAGTTTCAAATACGTGATTACCTCCGCTTAGTTACATGCATTCACCATAAAATTAAGACTTTCAATTAGTTAATTACTAAAGATTCATTGTAGATAAAGTGGGTCATTGCATGATTTACAAATTATTAATCAAATTTATCACATGAAACAAAATAATGGGGTTATGAGTGTGATTGCCCCCGTACACAGTACGGGGTGGCGGTGGTGAATTAAAAAGAAGGGTAAATTACAAAGACCTCCTTACTATAGGGTCTGTGACAAAGACCTCCCTGTACTTTCTTTTGCGACAAAGACCCTTTGTACTATGACCGTAAGGCAAAGGCCCACTTCTGTTAGATTTCCATTGAAAACTACAGTTGCAATATTTTTTAATTCCTATACTACCCTTGTAATAACTATTCGGACAAGTGGAAGAAAAAACTGTTCATCTTCCCTGACCTCACGATACACGAACAACAGCGGTAATAATCCCTTTCTCTCTCTCTTTTTCTCTCTCCTCAATCCCTCTTCTTCCCCTTCCCCTTTCTTCTTCCTGCTTTCCTCTCTTTACCATTCCTCTCGGCCATAACCGCCACAACTCATTGCAGTGGCTAATTCGGTTGTTGAGGAGCAGATCCCAATTCTCTCATTATATTGGATAAGAAGTAGTAATATTGAGGGAGAAACACTGAGAAAAAAACTGCTAATCCATCGGAAGCTGCTCGTGTGCTACCACAGTCAGGCTCAAAGGAGAGTGATCGGATCAGCATGTTGCCCAGGCAGCCGTCGGTTAACTTCAATCAATATGGAGGTTTATGTCACGGTGGATGGATCCGCTGGTCGGGCTCTTTTCTACTACTTTGTTGAAGCTCCGGATGCCATGCCCAGACCTCTCGTTCTTTGGCTCAATGGAGGTGTTTTGATATCAACTCTTTAATGGGTTTAATTTTCTGGGTTCATATCTCTTCATTATAGTGATCTGAGTGTTTTTATTGTTTTAACCATTTTCAAGGTCCTAGGTGTTCTTCACTTGGAGATGGGGCAATGACGGAGCTTGGCCTGTTCAGAGTGCAAAGCGATGGCAGAACACAGCTTTATGGAAACCCATATGCATGGAATCAAGGTTGTTAAATAATTCAGTTGATCAATTTTCTCTTTTGGTCTTTCTTCCTTTCAGAGATTCTAACTTGACCTTAGTTAGTTAGTTTCTAATTTCTGTTAACTAATCTTGGTTAGTTAGTTTGAAATATCTGTTAACAAAACATTGGCCACTAGAAACTACAATGAGAATAAGATTAGTTAATTAACCCGCCATAAATGAGAATAAGAGAGATGTTAACTAACATTAGTGGGAAACTAAAATTAGTTAACTAAGATTAGTTAACATTAGTTAATAAGATTATTAGCTAATGTTAATAATGTTATTAGTTAATAATAAGATTAGTCAATCTTATTATTAACATTATTAACTAATAACTTTAGTTAATCTTATTATTAACATTATTAACAATAATGTTAATCTTATTAGTTAATAATATCTTATTAATAATGTTATTAATAATCTTATTAGATAATAATGATTAGTTAATAACATTATTAACTAATAAGATTAGTTAACATTATTAAATAATAATGTTAACTAATAAGATTATTAGCTAATGTTAATAATGTTAACTAATGTTAATAACATTAGTTAATAAGATCAGTTAATATGATTAACTAAGATTAGTTAACATTAGTTATCACTTCTGTAACGCTTATGGCGGGTGCAACATCCCTCACATAAACAAACAAAATCTCAAACTGCGTCTCAATTTAGAGATTTGAGCTTACAACCTCTTGCATTTGGATCCACTCAATTCTGTGAGTTTCTTCTTGCAAAAAGTATACGAACGATTGCTTTCCCTCTTCTTTTTTTTAATCATTCATTTCTCGTTTGCCGATTCTCTTATCTCGGTTTGATCAAATCTTATTTCAGTTTGGAAGAGGTTCTAGATCTTCAGTTGCTTGGATCCAAGAATGGCGACGATGGAGAGCTTGATTGGGTTGGTGAACAGGATCCAGCGAGCCTGCACCGTTCTAGGTGATCATGGAGGCGAGGGAATGTCGCTGTGGGAAGCGCTTCCTTCGGTCGCCGTTGTAGGAGGCCAGGTTCTATCTCTTCTGATGCTCTCATCATTTGTTTTGATTGGTTTCAAGGTTTCTGTTCTGAATTTCTTGTTGTTTGTGGAAATCAAGAGTTCGGGAAAATCTTCGGTGTTGGAAAGCGTTGTTGGGAGGGATTTCTTGCCTCGTGGATCCGGTAATCGTCAATTCACTGTCTTAGGAGTTGTCTTGTATTGTATATAGTTTTCGATTTCAAGCCTTTCATATTGCATTTCTATTTGCCATTTGTTTATTTTTTTAATTAATTATTTTCTGATATGTAGGTATTGTGACAAGGAGGCCATTGGTGTTGCAACTTCACAAGACAGAAGAGGGGAAGTCAGAGTATGCAGAGTTCCTTCACACTCCAAAGAAGAAGTTCACTGATTTTGGTATATTGAATTTTAGATGAAGAATTTTCTCGTTTCAAGTATTCCAAATTTCCCTTTTTCTTTCTATATAACATTGTTTGGTATTTGAGAATTTCTTTGGTGGTTAAGTTAAATATATTATCAGTGGCTTTAAACATTTTGACTTAAATTCAACTTAATCAACAAGAACTTAATTTAATTTAATTTTTTTATGGAAAATTGGCATTTGCTTCTAATTTGAAAGTTGATTGAAATGCATCGAAATTATATAAAGCTAGGCAAGGAAATCAAGAAGCTAGAATCAGCCCATGTAATCTTCAATTCTTCATGTCTAATTTATGATGGAAAAGCCCTATTTGTACAACCACTGTATTTACAATTCTGAGCTAGGGATTGGCCATTTTTAAAAACCCATTGTGTGCAAACATTTGAAATTCTTTGTAGAATTACTCTGTGGGACTATGTGTCTTTCTGTTTCCACACGGATTAATAGGATATACTTCTCGTGTAAGCTGAAGTGTTCTATTTTGGATTCATGGTGAAACCATGAATTTCTTTAGCATTGGGTAGCGGATCCAATGTTTGTTCACCCTTTAGGATTACTTGAAAATGCATCTTTCATGTGAATTTTGCAATGGAATGAAAATAGTCAGATATGATAAATTTGACGATTTGGAGGTCTCGGCCGAGAGCTTCTCTGAGATTTTTTTCTTAAGAGTTATTAACAACTAAATCTTGTATGCTTTTAATATATGCAATGATCCATAAATTACATATCTTAATTAGGATGATTGTGAAATTTCCTTGGTGAAACCAATCTTTCGTGAAGTATACCAATTAATATTTAATTGGATTATCTTAAAAAAAAACTGATAATTATTTTTGTTTTACACTTGTATCATCTTAGGCCTTTTTTTTTTCCAAGTAAAAATGAGTTTGCACTGGTGCAAACGTTTAGTGGTCCATATTTTGGTTCGCTTTTGTTTTAGGTTTATTTTGTTTTGTTTGTTTGCTTGGTGTTATGATAAAATCTTAGGCTGATAAGTTTGGGACTGTATTCAGTCTACTCCTAAGACCCCAAATAGCTGGGGGGCAACATTGGAAAATGACTTTTTTGTTTTATTGTTTTTGCTCGTTTGTAGTGCTGATGAAATAAAATAAAACTTGAAGTAAAGCAAAACATTAAGTAAAAGTAAATCAGAATTTGCACCAATCTTACTTGCACTATCATGCAGTTGTATTAGTTTAAATGAAATTGACAGCAAACAAAAGAAGTAATGTCAAAATTGATTTATTCTCTTTATTTAGTACTTACTATTTAGAAGCATTTTTTCCAATGTAAGTATTTTAAGTAGGGCTGCAAGTCGGGCCGGGTTAGGTCGGGTTGAGGCCAACCCTAGCCCAACCCTAAGTTCTAAATCTCAACCTTAACCCTAATCCAACCTGACCTTCAATCTGACCAACCCAATCCTAACCCTAACTAAATTCCTTCAACCCTAACCCAATCCAACCCAACCCGAAGTCAATTTCGGGTTGGATTGGGCCCAACCCAACTTTCTTCCCATCCCTTAAAACCTCATAAATTTCTCGATTTCAGATCTTAACTCAACTTTCACTACATATATTAATCCTATGTTTCATTAGTATTTATTTATTGACGTTTTTTTGGTACACAATTCAGAAAAACAAGTGTTAGAAATAATCATAGTTTATTATGAGTTATGGCTTATGATAGATCTTTCTTGGGTGGCAAACAACATAGAGGAGATGAAGAATAAAATTTTCAAAAAAAAACATAAAATAATATTATTAAGGTTTTAATCTTTCTCATTACGATTAAGTGAATTGATTATGTTAAAAGAAATACATGATACTATGTGGTGGGGGTTATACAAATATCATGCATCTAAACAAATCAATGTATGTTATACATTACATATAACATATATTTATATATGACATGTACTATAGAGTCGGGTTCGGGTTGGGTCAGATTGGCTAAGGGGTCAACCCTAACCCAACCCGAAGTAAAGTTGGGTTCATGGATTTTAACCCTAACCCTAACCCGAATATCAACCCAACCCAACCCAATTTTTTCAGGTTGGGTTAGGGTTGGGTTGGGGCCAACCCCGCCCAAGTTGCAACCTTAGTTTCAAGTCAAAAAATTTGTTTTTTTTTTAGCTGACAGTGAACTTTCTTTTTACTTGTGTAGCATTGGTGCGTAAGGAGATTCAGGATGAAACTGATCGTATAACTGGGAAAACAAAGCACATATCAAATATTCCGATCCACCTTAGCATTTACTCTCCAAATGGTTAGAGTATACTTGTCTTTTGTTCTGGATTTATTTGTTGCTTTATTAATTATCATCAATAGGAATAGGTTGAGTGCTACATGTTTTTCTCTGTATTGATGGTCTGGTATACACATGCTAATTTTACGAAACAAAATATAATAATTCCTGTATGAATACAGCTAAAATTTGTTTTTCTTTTGCATAAACAAACATTTATCTCCCCTATCCTATATTGGTATGCACTATGACTTGATGAAGCAACGGGTAAACCTAGTCCGTCCTAGTCCTAGCAAATGTGCTTGAGATGTTTAATATGATGTCGAGCCTTGAATCTGATAATGTATATTACCAATTTATAATCCTCTTGTTAAATTGGAAGAAAACACAATATTTTATTCAGGTTGGCACTTCTGAGAAGACCTGCATCGTATTTGGCTTCAATTCTGGAGTCTTTTTTTTTTTTGTTTCCTTTATCTTTCTATTTTTTAAATGGACCTTCTATCTTTGATGTCCTTACTTTTGGACTTCCTAATGAATATGTTATGCTAGTTAGGTGCACTGTTGTTGATTTGTTTATTTACTTTATGCAGTTGTGAACTTAACACTCATAGATCTTCCTGGGTTGACAAAGGTTGCCGTTGGTAATTTTCTTGACTATACCATTTTTGGAGCTGTTCAATTTCTTTTGGATAAGATTGCTGATAACTTTGGCCTTGGCAGAGGGACAGCCAGACAGCATAGTTGAAGATATTGAAAACATGGTCCGATCTTATGTTGAAAAGGTGAGGGCACTATATTTAATTTTCTGGCATTTGTACGTAGGTGTTGGAAGATGCAACTTTCTTTCCGTCTATTCTTCATTATTTTCCCTTAAAGAAAAATGTCCTGAGTCCATATTTGATATTTCTTGCATATCACCAAGGTACCTGCATGAATTTAAGTAGCTCAAGAGGGATTGTTTTGGACCCACCATTTGGTAGATCCCGTCTGGGGGAAAGAACTTGATTGAGTTTTCTTCTTCTGCCAAGCTACTTGTCAAGTATTTTTTTAGTGTCAAAGAAAGAGTAGATAATATAGTAGTTCTTTTTGGTGTATATAGGAGATTTCCTATCTTGTGAGACATGGTGGTGCCATTCCCTGTCCACCCGCCTGTGTGTATCATTTTTGCTGTGAAGAAGATGGTGGTTTATCACTGTGATTGCTTGATGAGACCTTGGATTTCTCTTTTCTGAAATGATACCTTGTGAGATTTCTTCTAAAGATAATTTACGCCTTCTTTATCTTCTATTCCTTCTTTTGTCATTTGGGATGCACTCTTGTGCATTCTTTCCTCTTTACCTCGGGAAGGTCACATTCCTGTGAAGGACCCATCTAGTCATTTACATAATCATTTATTTGACTACATCCTGAGTTTCTTTTTACTAATGTTTATATATATATATTTTTTTTCTTTTGTCTTTTGTAGCCAAATTGCATTATATTGGCCATTTCTCCTGCTAATCAAGATATTGCCACTTCAGATGCTATAAAGCTTGCAAGAGAAGTCGATCCATCCGGTACCAAAAAGTTGGTTGCTTCTGTTTCTAGATGCATAATAATCTGGTTATTTTGTCGCTTCGTTCATTGAGTACATACTGGAAATATTTGGTTCATATAAGTATGTAATTATTGTATTGTGTACATTTTATAGGTGAAAGAACATTTGGAGTGTTAACAAAGCTTGATCTGATGGACAAGGGTACCAATGCCCTGGATGTAAGGATTTGTTTTAGTTGTTTATAAGTTTCTCAGGCTTTACTTGCTATTTCTATTCATTATATCATACAATAAATTAATTAGCATAGACATCATTATCAGAGATTTTGCCTACCGGTTGTTCATTTTTACAGTTTTGTCACCCTAAAATGTTCTCCTCGATCCCTCTAAATAAATATCATGACTTTCTTATTTTCCTTTAGTCTGGTAAGGTCAAGGTGCACAGTATTGAAACATGATTATCTTTTGTTGTTTATGAATGTTAAAGGTTCTTGAAGGAAGATCGTATAGGCTTCAGCATCCCTGGGTTGGAATTGTCAACCGTTCACAAGCTGATATCAACAAAAATGTTGATATGATTGCTGCTCGTCGAAGGGAGAGAGAATATTTCCAAAGTAGTTCTGAATATGGACACTTGGCACATAAAATGGGTTCTGAATATCTTGCAAAACTTCTGTCTCAGGTGGATCACGACTATCTGCTGTAGATTTTGTAATCTCTTCCACCAGTTTTACTGAATTTACAATTCTTTCTCACCACGAGGAACTTTTATTATCAGCATTTGGAGGCTGTTATTAGGCAAAGAATACCGAGTATTACAGCTTTAATAAATAAGGCAGTTGATGAGCTTGATGCGGAACTTGATCGTCTTGGCAGGCCTATTGGAACAGAGGGAGGGGTAGCAATTCAATATCTTTCCTAGCTAGAATCAGTTATCTTTACTGATAATAATGAAATGGTTTGCTAATCTGATTTTACTCATCACTAATTTTCAATATACAGGCCCAGCTATACACAATTCTAGAGATGTGTCGTGCATTTGACCGTATTTTCAGGGAACACCTAGATGGAGGGTAAAATGGAAAAACCTTCTTTTTTTATTAAATATGGGAGTTCTATAAGCCAAGTTTTATTTTTGTTACATTCAGATTACTATTTAATTTATTTATCCACAGATTACTTTACCAGATTGATTGTTTTAAGTTAAGAAACGAGGTTCAATGTGATCAGGAACTCTAGTATTTCTGTTGCGAAGCAATTATTTCCAAATAGGGACAATCTCTTTACAATACCTGCTACTTAACCATTGTCAAGATATCCATTTTGAATGCACCTTTTCAAGAATATACTGTGTATTAAGTTGACAGTAATTTAAGCTAGAAAGAAACAGTGGTTACGTCCAAGGATCCCCCATAAGAGATCTTATAAATACGTAATTTCTTCTTCTGAATAGACAAAGCAAATTGTAGCTCAGGTAAATCTCCCTACATCAAAGGGAAAATTTCCTTAATAAGAATTGAACTTCATCTTACAGCAATAGCCTTGAGAAATCATTATGAGTCACTCATGGTTCTTAAGTTCATCACCTGTGGGGAGGAATGTCTGCAGAGTGCAGCATTGTTAATTCCAAGATTTTTTTGACCGAAGTATATTAATTAGTAATACTTGGTCCTCTACTCTTTTATCTTTATATTTTACCACTTGATGGTTTGGTCTGTAGTATTACTTCTCTGCCATGACTGTAACTAGAAGCTTGTATTCATGATTTCAGTTATAGTTAGAGTGAAAATACTTTTGGCAAGTACTAAAAGTCCTTTACTATTATTCCATTTTATATATTCATACCTCTATAACATGAAATGATGTGATAAGATGTTATCTATATCTAGAAGTGAGCTCTCTTAAATTCGCACCTTGTTCTCTTGCTTTTCTCAAGTTGATGCAATCATACTTTCAAAGGTTATGTAGTTAGTATATTGTTTGCTGTTCAGGCGACCTGGTGGTGATCGGATTTATGGGGTTTTTGACAACCAACTACCGGCTGCTCTGAAAAAGCTCCCTTTTGATCGCCATCTTTCTTTACAAAATGTTCGAAAAGTTATTTCGGAGGCAGATGGTTATCAGCCCCATTTGATTGCTCCAGAACAAGGCTACAGAAGGCTCATTGACACTTCTCTCGGCTTCTTTAAAGGCCCAGCTGAAGCATCAGTTGATGCTGTAATTCTCTTATTTTAATACTATATGAATGAAACCATTTCAGTTTTCTTAGTGTTAATTTTGAGACAGGGAATTTACCCTCAAGGAACCCTTCAACCTAAAAGCGTAAGCTAATAGGTGAGGCACCTGAATAGGTATTTATTCTCAAAAGACCATTGGGCTTGAATTGTTGACAAGTACAAGTCTGCCCGTGTCTTGTGCTGAAGTTTAATTAATTATAATGAAGGCGACAAGGATTGAACACTAGACCACTTGGTCAAACAAGCTCTGATACCATCTCAAGAAGCTGTTCAACCTAAAAGCTTAAGCCATTAGGTGAGGTATCTGAATAGACATTTATTCTCTAACATTTATTATTTAGGTCTTCGGTAAGTAGAACTATTATTGCTTCCAATCCATGGAATGCAATATAATTTGGTATTCATGAAAGATTTTTTCCCAATTATTTAGTTATTTTGTTTTTACTGGCTTGACTCTCCTAAGTCTTAATTTTGCTTCAGGGCTTCATAGATGTTTCATATGATTTCTCTGTGTTTCTTTGTCATTTTTATTTTAGATATTCAAGATATTATTGTTTCTTTATACATATCTAAATTTCTTAGGATGTCTTTGGGTGGAAACTAACGATCACTACAAATAGCAAAAAATACATAGGTACTTTGTTAAAAAAGTATTGTGTTTCAAAAATCTTCAAAGGAATAATCATGATGCATTAACCTGAAAAAGTGTGCAAATCTCATGAACATGCAAGTTTGGATATTAATTACAATATTAAGTTTGTTCAATTTAAACAATCATGCTTGTAAGAGAACATGCACCTTTAATAAAAACGATCAAATCCCCATGTATAATAATATTAGACCTAGGTCATTAAGTTTATATTTTAATTAACTTTTTTTTTTCATTTTTTGTTCAGGTGCACTTTATTTTGAAAGAACTTGTTCGGAAGTCCATAGCCGAGACAGAAGTAAGTAAAATGAATCTGGAACTTGTTCTGACTCAAGTGTCAACATAAAGTCCACGATTTCCAATATATTTCCAGGTTCCTGTGTTGTATTGTTGTTGTTCTTATACTACTGCTGCTGCTGCTGCTACTAGTAGTAAAAAGTCTTTGGGTTTTGGCTTCTCTCTTATCAAAACCCAAATTATTAATATAAAATTTGCATGTTCTTTGAACACTATATAATTTTTCTTGATATAAATAACATATGAATATTTTTACAATCAGTCTTTAAAATTCAAACCAAAATTTGATTGAAATTACTCACTTTTTACTTTCCAATCTAATCAGGATTTCGAAATCACCTTTCGATGGATTTTAGAATATGGACTTGATTATAGTTATTTTAGTGAATCAATCTTGTCATTCAATTCATTCTCTTACCATTTCAAATTCAAAGTTGGTATAATGGGCTCTGGTTGATTTTTTTTTTTTTTTTTGAAATATTGCTTGGTGGCACAAGCAAAAGTAAGGGATCCAAGACTAACATGATTATCAGGACTAGGCTAGAAACTTTATTGTGGGTAGAGCCAAGCATTTGAGTGTGTGTTCTTCAGATGAGGCTGAAACCATAGCTATGAAAGATGGATTACACATAGCAATTGATATGGGAATTAAAGATCTGGTGCAGAAAGGATTGTTAACTTCTTTGGGGAACCTAACAGTGAAATACCATGGTGAATTGCAACTTAGCTGACTGTCATTTTTTATTACAGAACTATTTTCAGATTATTGTCCAATTTATTCATAGAAACTGCAAAGAAGTGGCCCACCAATTAGTTAAAGGAGATATTACTTGGTGTAGTGGTAAAATCTCGAGCTGTGAATTGTGTATCTGGGACCGACATTGGGTAATGGTCTTTTTACTTGCTATTTTCTACTATATTGGAGGATTTACTGCAATCAGTTTTTATTGGTGAAATTGAATGAGCCTGAGGGCCTTGAAAAAAATGTTTGGATATGAGCTTGGTTTTAGTTCTTTTATTTAGGCACAAAGACAATATAATATTTGGTTGACCACTCAGCCCAGTTCTAGTTGTGTGTTAGTCTGACCAGTTGCTGATGACCCAAGGATGGAATCTAACTTCTCCTAATTACATCTATTAGATTAGATAGGGGAAAACATATGAGTAGTAATTCTCACTAGGGGTGCAATTTGGGCCAGGTTTGCTCAGGTTGAGGATTTGAGTTGTGGAACCCAACCCCAACGCTAAGGTTCGGATCGGGTTGGCCAGATTTTCTGTTTCCTTTTATTTCCTTGACTCAAAGGTTGAGGTAAATTCAGCTTTAGCATTTCAATTTAAAAATATTTAGGTACTTGTCATCATATAAGAGTCGTAATACCTATCATGTATGTATATATATATATATATATATATATATATATATGCAACAACTCTTTTAACAGCAAGTTTGTTGGAATTCAAAACCATTAATCTTTGGTGGATATGAAAGCATGAACTATTCTTAGCTTCCACCAGTTTATGGTGTGTTGTGGCATTTACAGGAATTGAAGAGGTTCCCGACACTTCAATCTGACATAGCAGCTGCGGCGACAGAGGCCTTGGAAAGATTCCGTGAAGACAGCCGGAAAACGGTTATACGTCTAGTGGAGATGGAGGCTAGTTACCTGACAGTGGAATTCTTCCGGAAGCTCCCTGTTGAGCCAGAGAAGGGAAATAATCCCACGGTACCCACCATGGATCGGTACTCAGAGAACCACCTCCGGAGGATTGGTATGCAGGCCATTCTTTTGCAGTTTGCATTGCATCATCTCTACTAACAATTGCATTCCAACTATTGTACGTTTGCCTTGTAATCTCTCATGATGAGCAAATTGGTTTCAGGATCTAATGTCTCATCTTACGTGGGCATGGTCTGTGATACACTAAAAAGTTCCATTCCAAAGGCAGTTGTTTATTGTCAGGTTCGAGAAGCAAAAAAGTCGCTGTTGAACCAGTTTTACAGCCAAGTTGGGAAAAAGGAGGTGCAGTTTCCAAATTCCAATCCCTTGAATTTAATTCTCTTTCTCTCTCTCTCTCTATCGTCATTGGTAAGCATGAAACCCACTGAACAGCAAGATTAGCAAGCGTGTTTATACAAGGACAGTTTGTGTCGGTGTCTTAAAAGGCAATCAAAGATCAATTAAATTTGGTTGATCATGATTTTCAAAATCGGACCGGAAAAGGGAACCGATTTCATTTTATTCAAGAACCGTTATTTCCCAAAAAACTGTTGATTTGGTCAATAAATCACTGACATAGGTGGTTGAACAGTTTAAGCCGTTTAATGATTTGGTTGTTTTTTATCTTTTTTTGTCAAAATGAACCATTTATTTGGTTCGAATAGTCGAACCGTTTGACTTGAGATTAAAAACCTTGCATAAAATAGCTAATAGAAGATTTGACCTTGTGTACAGAAGAAGCAGCTAGGGGCGATGTTGGATGAGGACCCAGCACTCATGGAGAAAAGAGAGGGCATAGCTAAGAGACTGGAGCTGTACAAGTCGGCCAGGGATGAAATTGATTCCGTGGCATGGAAATGAGGAGATTAGGTCCTTTTCCCTTTAACGCTCATTGTCATTAACCTTTTTTTTTTTTGTAGTCAAAGTAATAAGAGTGCATTCATATGTAAAAGGCTCTTAAAGTGTTGGATCTGTTTGTCTTCGGAAAATGAAAGCAGAAAAGAAAAAGATGATCCTCTTTATTTTATATTTTGAAGTCAAGAATGGATGATGGATCTAAGCCTCTCTTGAATTCATTATTTATTTTATTTAATTCATAATTAGCTACTCGTGTTTGAAGGGAATTAATGCAGGTTTGAGACTGAAAATGGCTGCTTTGTGCAAAAAATGCCAAAGTTTAGTCCATCCGTTATTTGAGTGAACAATCTTAACGTCCATATAAAACTCAGTAAAGATAATAACCATGGCAATTCTTTATTATAAAAGAAAAAAAAAAAAAACCCATGAATGATGACCAATAAAAGTAATGATATGTCTATATCCACCTTCACAGAGAGGCTTTATGACAGGTCTGAGTGTTATCATAACAAAACACACCCAACCTGTGGCCACAAAATACATATCAGCTCTATATATGTACATAGTATAACATATGTGGTATAATATATATATATATATATATATATATATATATATATACTATAGCATATACATGGTATAATACATTTATGGTATGTATATGTGGAATAACATCTTAATATATAGATAACAAAATATCAAGTATTTCTGTTAGTTTATTATCAAATTAAATTAAATTTCCAATTTTTTATTTTATTAATTTATATGGGCCAGCCCAGACGCCCAGATTGGGCTTGGGCTTGGGCTCAAATATATTATCAGCCCTATGGAATGGATCCATATGCCTGTCCAGGCCTAAGCAGTCCCAAAAGAGTGTTAATGCACTATAAAATCCTGACATGGGCCTGAACTGGTCGGAACCAGCCTGGCCCATGATCGTTCCCATTTAGCCTCCATAGTATGGGTTAACAAATTTCAGGGCTGAGAATGTGTCCAATACTTCAAGCCCAGCTTAGCCCGCACACACACACACATGACACATGTATAGAATGTGCCCATTTTTTGTTTGAAAATGGTGCTGCCAGGTAGGACGTTTTCCCAGAAAACAGCACCACCTGCTGTTTGATATCAATGCTTCTTGTTGGTTTTCTGCACTGATACCCATTATCTAGTGCTGCTCTTATGATTATGATGCTATCCTCCATCCAATCGTGTAGGAAAATCCCATGTTCATCATACGGCCTCAATTGTATATTAGCATATTCAAAAAAACAAAATCAGAGAATTATGAAGACAATGACAAAAAAAATGAAAATTGCAGATAGGTTGTTTGGGTCGCAGATAGGTTAATGTCAAAGAGAAAGAAACCAGATGGACAATGCAATTTATTGTCTACTCTAAAATCTCCTATATCCCAAGAGAAAGAAACATAATAGCTCATATAGCAGTCTCTAGAGAAGGAAATCCTCCTCCCTGGCTGACATCCTACTTCTCTAACAATGGTTAGCAGGTTAGGAGGAACGTTGTAATTTGGCTCTTTAATCATGTTAATGAATGAAAAAAAGAAAAACAGAAACTCAGGTCCGACGATTCCTTAACCATTATTAACCACCATAACAGAAATAACTAGATCTGATGACATCCTACTAAGATCTGATAATTCATAAATACAAAAAATCAAGAAAACGTTTGAAGACACCTGTGGAGGTTCCGAAGAAGACAAATAGGGTGAGGCGGTTCCGAAGAGAAGACAAATGGTCTGAACACAGCAGCCTGACCTCCGGCGGCTGAAAACGAAGAAGTCCGGCCTCCTGCGATGAGTTCGACATCTGCTGCTGCCGATTGGGAGGGCAATAGCAGTGGGAAGAAAACAAACCGTGTTAGGATTTTTTTTAACAGTCGAGAAACAATTGTGGTGCACACCATATCAATTCAAAGTTGTGCCACGTAATCGATACATCAGGTCACTGTTGGCAGCAACGCTAAATAATTTGGGAAAATGTTAATTTTGTGGGTGTTTGGCATCGATGCCATTTTCTGAGAAAATGGTGTAACATCAGAAAAAGCGATGCTTTAGAAAAAACGCCTTATTTAGTACTGTTTTTTCATAAAAAACGTTGCTTTAGATCACGTTTTGGAAATCGGGAAAGTGTGGTCTGAAACAATGCCAGATTTGGCATTTTCTCATAAAACAGCTCATTGCTGTCAACTGTGCAATAATATGGCATCATCTTGGATGTTGGATAATATGATCAATGCTGAAAAATGGTTCTACAACACTGGTACCAAACAAAACTAGTGTTGTTTTCCCATAAAACAGCCTATATGGCAGCACCGCTTCTAAACAAAGAATAAACACCATTTTCTTACAATTTACCCATGCTCAACACTGTTTTTGTGAGAACAGTTTATATGGCAGCACCGCTTCTAAACAAAGAATAAGTACCGTTTTCTTACAACTTATCCATGTTCAACATTGTTTTTATGAGGACAGTGCGGTGTTCCCAGCACTGATGCCAAATACCTACTTCGTCGTTGCCTTCGACCACATCTTCTCGATTTCCAAGGCGTGATCGTTTTGCCCTCATTTTTTGGAAAAATAGAACCAAACAATGCATCATTACTTTCGGCACGACTTTTGGTGACATGAAGTTTACGTGGCACCGTTTTCTTAGAAAACGATACCAATGGCAAATATTGCCTAGCTTTTTCATAGTTTGAACCCATTATGAGGGATATTGTTACCAACTCGATATCAAGTGAATTGGCAATGAATTAACTCCTTGTAGTTGTATTATTGACGTTTAAATTTGGAGTCATCAAACTAGTACTTGTATGTGCAAAAAGGAGCAGCTCTAGGAATTTGGGTAGAAATAGATGCACCGGAGATGGTTAAAACAAAAAAAAACTATGAATTCATTTGAGTTAGAATGTGTTGTTTTAGCCAAGGTTTTTGAACCGTCGTTGACCCGGATGGTCGGACCATTTGGCTCGGGAATCGTTTAGGCAACCGATTCCGTTTTACCCCAAATTTGGTCTTTGGCAAAAAATTGTTGAAAAAGTCAATAACCCGTTGACATGGGCGATTGAACTATTGACTTGTTCAACGGTTTTTTACCATTTTTAATTTGTTTGTCAGAACGGGTCATCCGTTCGAATCGGATGGTCGAATCATCGACCTGAAAACTGGTGGATAGAACAGTTTTGTTTCTGAGTCATTTTTTAAAACGTTGGTTTTAGCTAAGGGTGACTAAATAGATCGGTTCTACTAGTGGAATATGCTCTACTCAGTACCAAATGGAACCAACCTTGAATTGACCCCATCCAATTTGTTAGTGGTCTAGTTTCAAATTCTTGGAATTAACTCCCACCCAAACTAGTTTCAAGGTTTGGGGGAGTTTATACTACTTGAATTGACTTGGAAAACCAGCCCTAATTGGTCTTGGAACCAAACATGCCTCTAGCTCAAAATACTTTGAGCATGTGGAGATTTGAACCCAATCACTAATATTTACAAAGATCATGGTCTCACTTGATCACTAAGGCACAAGCTAATTGATAATATTCATCAATTTAATGTTTGAATTGAATGTGTATAATATGTAATGCAAAAGGTAATATTTAAAAAGTAATAATTATAATGATAAGTTTTGAACTAGATTATTATTATTATTATTATTGTCATTGTTATTTTTATTGTTATTGTTATTGAAAATCAAGTTTAAACATTTTATGATTGCGATTTCTAATCAATAATATATATAGATAGTAACAACATTATGATACAATTTGTGATTATGTAATTATGTAATTATGTTACATTTATAATTTTTAATGTTAGAAAATATGACTTAATATATAATACTATATTAAACTCAACAGCATATATAGCTATCTAATTTGATTCTCAATGTTATGGATTTTTTTTTTTTAATTTTAAGAACATGTTCCATTTTTTTAGGGTAAAGAAGGGATAGACCATAGAACCACCAAGGCCAAAATCGACCTTAAAACAAATCTTGATAGAGTAGGTTCTAGTTCCAAAGACTAGAAGCAACCCCTATAAGCTAGATTCTAGGTTTTGCCTTGAAATTGATCAATTATATAGAATAATTGATAAAAAAACCAATTATATAGAATAGACTCGAAAACAAACCAAATATTAAAGGGAAATTATCAGGTCCGACCAAATTGGACCCATTATAGATGTCACCTATGATAATAATAACTTGGAGCTTCATTTTTCATAATATAACCTTATTAAAAATGACAATAAATAGTAAAACAGTTTACATGTTGAGAAAAAAAGTGTTTTTAACCAAAATTATCTTATGTGTATTAAATTTATCCTTTTAGGCTTTAAAAAAATTTATAAAAACAAAAAACCATTATATATTATTTACTATATAATTGGTTTGAGCCTAAACCGGTTTGGACCAATTACAGGTTCGCAAATATTTACACCGTACATATTTGTATTTGAACTCCTTCTCAATTATGACATCACAAGTCATTGAGTTACAGTTTACCTAACGGTCGGATCGTATGACTCGTGACGTTGTGGCTTTTTCGGTTTTGTGAGCCGTTGAGTCTTATAACGTTGCTGTAGGCCTTCAACCTATTATCAAACGGCAAGAAAAGAAAGGCTGTCATTTTATGGTAACGCGATATTTCGTGACTCGTGCCAGCTAAAATTGGTGTTCGAGGAAGTCGGGAAATCGGAACCAATATAAACTGGTCTGTTCATTTGTTAGATTGTTAAGCTCTAAAATCTGATTTAGGGGGGCGTTGATCTGCCTCGTCTTGTTCGTTTTGGTTTCTCCGTTGAAACCAAAATTATCTTATACAATGTGTATTAAATTTACCCTTTTAGGCTTTAAAAAAATTTATAAAAACAAAAAACCATTATATATTATTTACTATATAATTGGTTTGAGCCTAAATCGGTTTGGACCAATTACAAGTTTGCAAATATTTACACCGTACATATTTGTATTTAAACTCCTTCTCAATTATGACATCATGAGTCATTGAGTTATAGTTTACCTAACGGTCGGACCATATGACCTGTGACGTTGTGGCTTTTTCGGTTTTGTGAC